TATAACAGCCCTGGATGCTCTGGAACTCACTCGGTAGACCAGTCTGGCCTCAAACTCACAGAGATCCGCTTCCCAACTGCTGGGATTAAAGGCGTGCAGCTAGCACATCTTTAAATCCATAGAGTTAAATGGTATTTTGGACAGGTGTATATAGCAACCAGCAAAATACAAATGCATTTTGTACTCCGACAATAACAGGTCAACATTCCTAACAAACTTTGTAAATAAGACAATCCTCATTGGCCCCCACGCTCACCAATTTTTTAGCTACAGCAATTAGTGCCTAGGCTACATGTTGCCCTCTACTGAGTGGTCACTTGCTTGAGTATGACCACCCAGGCTTATGACTTCCTCTGGAGCTGGGCAGCTGGATCAGGGCTCAAATTGGAGCTAAATTCATATTTATGCACACACAACTTCTCTGAAGACCATATTCCTCATCTACAAAAAACGCTTTCATCATAACAGTTATGAGAGAATTGTGTGGGCACTGCTCAGCACAGCGCCTAGTTAGCAATTAGAGTTAGTTTATGAAACTGTGTCCAGTGACCCCATTCCATGAGTTCTCAGGATTCAGAGCAGCTCAGCCAGGGCCTCATTTACAGTCACTGGCATGGCCAGTGCTGCTGGTACTGCTGAACTCAAGGCCCACGTCAATTTTAACCTGTCCCAGGAAACACTCTGGACATGCTTATGAGGGAGCACCCCTATCGAGGAGGTGACAGCACAAAACTAGGTGAAGAGAAAGTCAGATCAGGGCACGGGAACTCCAGGAAGGCCGCACAAATGAGCGCCAGGAAACAGGAATGTGCTAGATCAACATTTTCTAGGAGTCTGAAGTGCTTGGACTGGAAGAAGGAAACAAACTGGGCTGTTCTAGAAAGCATTAGGTAATGCTGACCTTATTTCCATTGTGATGAAAGACCACTGAATGATTAAAAACATAAAGTGAGCATTCTTAGAGACTTTGTGTCTGTTAGAGTAGGGGCCTTGCTACAGTCCTGGCTAGCCTGGATGGAACCATCTCTGCAGAACAGACTAACTTGCTGTGCTGCCTGTCTCAAACACTGGGATCACAGATGTGCATCAGCAGCTCCTTTCATTTACTCTCTCAGGAACATCACTGGGAGGTGAAACGGCGAGGGGAGGAGTCAGAAAGCTACATGATACAGAGATGTCAGTGGCTAGGGAAGACAGATTTTTGTTGTTTTGTTTTTGTGACAGGGTTTCTTTACGTGTGTTCTGGAATTTGCGTTTTAGACCATGCTAGTCTTGAACTTACAGAAATCTGCCTGCCTCTGCCTCCCAAGTACTGGGATTAAAGGCGTGCGCCATCATGCCTGGCTTGGGAAGGCAGATTTTAAAAAGTTACTTTACTTGGGAAGTTTGGAGACAGCTAATGACGAGTTTCACAGCTGAAGATATTCATCCTCTGGCTTCGACCATCTTGTGACCTACATCTGAGTCAGATGTCCTGTGTCACTGGTGTGGCCACCTCCCCAACCTGCCAGCATATATTCTTAATGATGCCTTTCCCCCCAAAATGTAGGATAATTTCCTATTTTTTTTCCTATGGTAAGTGAAATTGTTTTATATTCCTTTTCTTTAAAGGCACCTCCACCACACTACACAGACTTAGTCCTTTTAGAAAACTAAAAACAAGAGGGTGGTCTGTGTGCATCAATTTTAAAGGAGTATCTAAGTTTTGTAAACAACCTCACTTTGCTGTTGCAAAGTCCATACATTCAATACTTCAGTCCCTAAATGCACAACAACCTTTATGCTTCCCATGGTTAGTAAGAATGAGGGATTTCATTCTGAAGTAATAAATCTGGCTAAACACCATGATTTCCAAGAACTCAACTTGTGGAGTTCAAAGAGGCAGGGACACTGAATTTAGACCTTACAGTTGAACAGTTTAAGCTGAATTAAAAGGGAGGAAAAAAACAGTTCAGAGACATAAAAGTGGTACCAGTGATGAGTGTCTCAGGAAATGGGGACATGACTTACTTATGTATTTGAGAAAGTATTCTATCCCCATTCCATTCCATGAAAACAAACTAAAATGTCCATGGTTAATAAAGTTATTTTGAATAGCTTCAGTTGTTAGTTGACTGTTTAAAGGTGCATTCTATCAGTGGGAAGGCATGATGGTAGGAGAAGCTCCTGGCTGTGTTCTTGGAAGTGTGAGGCGGCCCATTATATTCTGTCGGCAGCTGAGAGCTCAGGCCTGAAACAGAGCCAACTACTCTCAGCGCTTGTCTCCCAGTGACCCATGCCCTCCACGTAGGCCCCACATCCTCAAGGTTCCGACCACCACCAAGGCAGTACCACCTAGAAATCAAGTGGGACTCCAACTCTCAGGACGTTTCACTGATACTCTGGCATCTTCTTTTAATGTAAGGCATTAAGAGCATCCTCCGAAATTTCTCTCTGTTGCAGAGGAGAAAGAACTATAGGGTGTGCCTATTATTGCGATAAAGAGCAGGCACAGGGAAGAGGATGCTGGTGTGTAGAGGCAGGACACCAGTGTCCATGTGATCAAAACAGAAAGGAATACTTTTACTGAGGGCAGTAGAGAAGATGCAACAAGGCAATGCCTAAGAACTGCAAGGTGCAGTGGGGCTGGAGGATCAGAAGACAGATTACACAAGAAGGCACCAGGATTATATAGGTACTTGTAGGGACAGCAAGGTCTTTGCTTTTACCAACATGTTTTGGAGGGATATGAGCAGAGGACAGACATGACCTCAGCATTAAAATGCTCGTGTGGTCCATTGTGTTGAGAAGCCTGTGGGAGATGAGGAAAGTAACATGTAGGTTAATGAAGTAATTGTCAAGTAGCTGCATGGTCACAAGAGACACGAAAACCTTCAGTGTGGTCCTCGCTAAGCTAGACTGGTCAGTAACTACAGTGTACTGAATGTAATTTCCATGTGTGTACTACTCAGGATAGCTTTATCAGCATGAATTCAATCTGAGGTCTAGAGGAATCTTTGTTCACACTTCTACGTTTACCACTTTTACTGGGCCAAGCTACAATCACTGTGTTTCTAGATTATTCCCACTGTGCTGCCCAGTGCCCCAAGAGAGGGCTGTACTGTGAATGGCCAGCCTTGGAGAAGCTTGAAATTCAGAGCTTTATTGAATGCTATCATAAAGTTAAACTACAGACCATATTTACACTTTAAAGAGAGCCAACAAGACACATCTCTGAAAAAGACATATGGCCATGTGAGAAAGGATAACACTGGATTTTGCCTGGCCCTCTGACAGGGTAGGCAGCTACCCTGGGACACGGTTGGGTCTGAAGGAAGCAGAGAGTACACTGGTCTGAGATAGCTGCACTCAATATCACCAATAGCAACAGGTCAGTCAGGACAGGTGGGTCTGGACTGGAAATGTAGGGATCACCAGCCTAACAGAATCACATGTCTGCATGACATTATCCAAGAGCAACATGGATACAGATGGGACAGGTCCTGCTCTCAGGAAGCTTCCATTCTATGGGAAACAGATTTGGCCAGTCGTGTGATAAGTGCTACATAGCAAAACAGAGATGAGGTATGGGATAGAGACAGCTGGCAGGGTGATAATATGGATGTCGTCCGTAAGAGATGCAATTACATGAAGGGAATGGAAGTTCCGGAAGTAAGCAGGCGAGGTACGTCAATCTGTTAGACACCACGTTTCACACAAGATTGGACAGGCTCACTGAGGGAGTAGGTGATGGCAGTGAAATTCAGGAAATGTGAGAACACAGCTCCTAGGCATTTCTGACAGCAGCGTGGAGCTTGTTATAATGGGTTTTGGTTCTGGAACTCCAAGGAGGAAAAGGAGATGGGCTGTCAGTACAGCAAGGCCCTCCCTCAAGTCACTTAAGCGCTGCTGTGGCTCAATCTCTTGCTCACTGTCAACCTGAGTGGCTTTGGAATAGTCATTTTTGTTTTATTTTGTTATTTTTTTAAGACAGCGTTTCTCTATAGCTTTGGAGCCTGTCCTGGAACTAGCTCTTGTAGACCAGGCTGGCCTCCAACTCACAGAGATCCGCCTGCCTCTGCCTCCCGAGTGCTGGGATTAAAGACGTGCGCCACCACCACCAGGTGGAACAGTCTTTTTTTAAGGTTTTCTTTCCTCAGTGCTTTGCCTCAGTGTACTATCACATATGTGCAGTACCCATAGAGGCCAGAAGGAGGCATCTGGGACCACGGTTACAAATGGCTGTGATCTGACATATGGGTGCTTGGCACTAAACCTGGGTCCTCTAGAAGAACAGCCAGTACTCTGAACTGCTGAGTCATCTCTTCAGGCCCTGAGAATGGTCTTTCTTAAAACACTTCTCAGACTGATGTTTCAGAAGTAGAGGAGTTTGTTAAAAGGGAGCCACATTTCTGATCTACCCAAGTTCTACTGAATCAATCTCTGGAACTAGATCCTGAGGGGGAATGTAAAGAGAGCCCTCACAGTCACTGAGCTTCTAGGCCGCTTAGCAAAGGAGAGAAACACTAGAAGACCAAGCGGAAGGGACATAAGAAGCACGGTGAGAGGTAAGGTTGACAGAGCCAAACCACAACCTCAGGAGGCTTTAACTCCACTGTGCACTCACGGTGGCAAGGAGGATTAGGGAGGGGAGCTAAGCGATCAAAGGCGTGCAGTATAGGAGTGACCTGGGGTAAGAAAACTCAAATGTCACTCCTAAAAAATCACCCTACTGTTAGGGTCAGACCTATCAAAGTAGTGATTCCTCAGTTCTGAAATGTTCTAGAATGTTTTTACAGGAATGGTCAGAAACAAAGAGTAACTGACTGGAGCAGGGTCTCCCCGCACTACAGGCCTGAGCAGCCGCCCAGAATCCATACCTTTGCCTAAGTCTCACTAGTTCACAGCACAGCTGGAAGACAGACATCACCAGTAAATGACAGGGAAGAGCTATACAGAGGCACATTTTTAAATCACGAAAGGCCCTTTGTGAGTGTGAAAAATATAGCTGACTCCATACATTGATTTATGAAAAATAAATTTATTACATAACACCTTGTTTTTAACAATGTTCAATTTTTTATTCAGAATACTTGTGTCATTCATGTAAAATAGTTTGATACAGTACGTTGTATGTTATAGCTTTTTATTTTCCCCTCAAAAATTCTAAGGCTCTCCTACTCCTTCTCCTTTGCTGAAGTAAGGGCACCCTAAAAAAATGTGCGAACAACTTCTTAAAAAGAAAGTCAACTGAATAAAATTTTAATAACACTACACTAACCAGCTTTAAAATCAGGACAAAAGAATGTGAATTGGATGCCGTGCCTTTTTAAGGAGGTTATCACTCATGCTTTTTTCATCTGAAAGCATGCTCACAAATCAGCAACACCAACGAGAAAAATAAAACACTGTCTGTGACAATCATTTTAGTTTGTTTGCTGAACCAAACAGGTTTATATCATGACAACATATTTAATTACTATCAAATAGCAGCTTTAAGACCAGTCAAGTCATAGGTTGAAAATAAAAACAAACCTCTAAGTTGGAAATTAATCTTTGGGAGTTCTGAAACCTGTCAGTAGAAACTATGTCGTTCTTTTGTACTTTCAAAATAATCCAAGCAATATTCTTGGTCATAAAACACTGATTTCTGTAGAAGATGAATCAACCCACTGATAAGACACTAAAAAGAAAGGTGTACCAAAATAATCTTTTAAGTCTCAGTTATTCTGTTAACATAATCTGTGTTTCAAGTACCAGTTAAACCTTACGTCTGTGTCCTATTGGTCAGATAACGCTGTTACACTCAAAGTCACCACACACGAGGACATTTCACAGCTTCAACTGCTACAGACTGTCACTGAAAACTATGCTTGGTCAGTCTGAACCCTGTCAAGTAAACTATGGAAGTAGCAAACCCACAACACAACTGTGCTAGCACTTTTCTTTTCAAGTCTAACTCCAAACTTAGGTACAACCTGGAAGCTACCACCCCAATCTGTGACAACTGGTGGAACTTGGCTACTGGACATTGTGAAGATGTGGTTGTACAGTACATTCTCATGGCCCACACCAGGTTCCCGCAGAGGGCTGCAGCATGAGCAACAGTGCACTGACAGACTCCAGCACGGCTCAGTACCGATGTGTCTGATGTGAGTACTGTGGAGGCTGCTGGGAGGTAGCTGAGTATCCCATGCTGCTCTGGGGCTGTGATGTGCTTGGTCCAGGGTTGGGATAAGCAGCATGTGGATTGGAACGCTGGAAAGAAGACGAGGAAAAAACGTGATTCAGAAACTTCTCAAAGTAGCTTGGCCCCATGCCAGCATGGAGAACAAGGGATTGAAGTGTTGTTCCAAGGAAGCAAAGATGTAAAGTTTCTGCAAGGTACTAGCTTTAGAATTAAAATAATAAAAACAAATAAACAACAACAAAAACCTTACAACTGATCCATACAGAACAAAAGCAAATAAAGCTGAAAGGTTTCCATTATTAGCTTCTCTTTAGGAATGTCAAATATAGGATATAAAAGACACCAATTTACATGCTGGGAAGACTTTACACCATATTTTGATACATGGGCATTTAGGACCTTAGTCTGGATATCCAGAACCCATGTTAGTCACGGCAGCTATCTGTAATTCCAGCACTTCAGAAGCAGAAACAGATCTCCAGGGGAAGCAGCTAGCTAGACTAGCCAACATGTGTAAGCTCCTAGTTCAGTGTGAGACACTGCCTCAGTAAATAAAAGAAGAAAAAAAAATCAAGGAAGACACCTGATGTCAATTTAGGGCCTCCACACGTCCATATACATGCATACCCATGCCCTCACATCCACACATGTGTGTCCAAGTATATAAACACATAAAGTACAAAAGCCAAAACACAGTTAAGTATTTAATGAGCTGTACCTAACCATGTAAGGCCACTTACTATTCTGTGAATGACACTAAGATTGTCGATGATAATAACAAAATAAAAATAACCGGCACTGTCTATACCATGCTTCTTTCTATACATAGGCAGGCCATCACGTTCAGCACACACAGCCAGTTCAATCTTTCCAAACTTCACATTCTAAGCACTGTACCTACTATGCAAATGAGGATGCTGTCTAGAGGGAACATTCACCTTACTTTTCTTCTCACATTTATCTAGATCCCTTCTTATTCAAGGCTAAAAGAAGTAAGTGATAAGGTAAGGCTGGGGGTGAAAAGCAGCCACTCAAGTTCAGATGACTTGCTAAACTTAGACACACCATGTCTAAGAAGATTTTCCAATTTCATTTTACAGGCCAAAAAAAAAAAAAAAAAAAAAAAAAAAAAAATAAACAAACAAACAAAAAAACCACAACAAAACCAAAAAAAAAAAAAAACCACTGAAGCCAAGTATTTTCAGAGTGTGTGTGTGTAGGCCAGAGGTTGATGCTGATTGCTTTGCACTTTATACTGAAGCAAGGTCTCTCATTTGAACCCAGAGCTCACTGACTTGACTAGAATCCTGACTTTGCCTTTGAAATGATGGAACAAAAGGGTACAGAAGGGCCACCAAGCTACCCAGCACTTACATGGGTGCTGGGGTGGGAATGTTTTACTGGCTGCTTGTCTCCCAGCCACCGCAGATGTTCTGTAATGTGCACAGAGGTCTCAAGTTACTAGATTGCCAACCTTGGACTTTCTACTCAAAGTCTATTCAGAAGTCTGATCCCTTCCTACTTTCCATGCCTGTGATCTTCCATACCTGTAACATTCCATGCTGACACATCTTTCCAGGTACACCAAGGCTACTTTAGACCACACTTTGCAACAGAAACCCCAGAAGAGCAGATCAGTATGAAACACTTGTAGTACCTGATAGTCGGAGGTCATGATGAGTCCACCTGAGGTAGTGGTAGGAGGGACAACTCTCACTTTTTTCAAGGGTGGCCCCTGTGTGTGGCCGCTGTCCTGGTTCCCTGGATGGCCAGTTCCGTTAGTGTGGTTATTGCCCTGCTGCTGCTGCTGGTTCTTCTCAATTGGTTAAACAGAAAACATAGTTCAACTCAGAAGGAGAACCAAAGATGGCAACATCCCAGGGTTACAGAAGCAGTCATAAGAAAGGCACTACCAACTGTAATTTAATACTTACTTTGTCTCCTTTGTCATCGGGTTCTTCTTCTGTTAAAAATTCTCGTTTGGGGTAAGGGATCTGACAACCGGCAAAAACACTATTCACAAGAGAAAAGAAAGAGCTGACTCACAGGCTGCCTGGTAATTCACTGTCACATACTAAGGAGAAGACTTTGTCTCCACAGTTACAGATATAAGCATCTTTCATGCAAACCTGATACAAATAAACATTTAACCAATGACACTGCAGCTGGTGGTCAGAAGGTCCTTCCCTGTGTAACCATAATTAATAATCATCCAATAGGACAGCTCTCATTGGTGCAAACAAAGTATCTACCTCTGCTCAGTGTTTTACCTGCCCTTCCTTCAGTTGAAACAAAGACGGTAAAGAGAACTTAAGTTTATTTAGGAACACCAGAGCCCCTGAGTGTAGCCAGTCCTACACAATGCCAGTGAGCAGAAGGAGCCACAGAAGAATGAATCCATCACTAGTAAATGGATGACTATCGAAAGGAATTCATTTCAGTATTGCCTCTGAACCACAGAGACCCAAAATGACATATTACAGGAACAAAGCTCCATTTCTTCAGGGCCCTCAGAGGCATGGCAACTTTGTGTGACAACTAAGGGGAAGAGTGCTCAGGGATGCCAACCAACATGCAGGGGGTCAGCAAATCCACCACTTACTCTGATGTGGGAAGTGGGTCTTCTAGGAAGTAGGGGTCCTGCATGGCCTGCTCTGAGGTAATTCGCTTTATTGGGTCCATAGTGAGCAACTTCTGAAGCTGAAATCACAAGTCACAGGACTATCAGCGCAAGCTCCCACATTAGTATACTGTCCCTAAAGTTTTATGTCAGTACCTATGGGGGTAAAGTGCTTCTGAAAACCAATACAATATCATTTATTCTCCCAAATTATCAGTAAAAAAACACAATTATCAATGTAGCAGCATACACAATCATCTCATGTTGACTACATTCACACTGCCTGACCCTCCCCAGTGCTTTTCCCTTCATTATCCACACAATTAAGAATGCCTAAACTTGCATTTTCTACTCCTTTTAAGAGGAGAAAATGTTGTAATGTAAACAACACACAAGCCACATGCAATTAGATTTGTACCTAATTCAGCATAGCTGCATTATAATTTAAAAATAACTCCCGCAGCCATACCAGGTAATCAAGTGCTCAAGAGGCGGCTGGAGCTAGTGGCTGCCCTACTCCACTGCTCAGTCCAAACCCTGACTCAGAATTTATTGGCTGAAGGCACCGGGAAGGTCAGTTCACCTCTCTGTAACCATATCTGTCCAGATGGAGAATAAAAATAGTACCATGGTAATTGGTTTCATTAATTAGTTCTCAGTATTCCTAGACCCAAGAGGTAAGAGAGCTAAGCCTTGTTCCTAGAGCCTGAGAGATAAGAGAGCTGAGCCCTGTGCCCAGAGCCCATCACACATCCAGGAAGTGTTGCTTTTTAACCAATTGGGGGCTTTTGGTTTTTCCTTTTTGGCAGTGTCTCCTGTAAGCTGATCTTAAACTTTCTAGTCTGGCTGTGAGCTCCTCCTGTTCTTCCTGCCTCTGACAGACAGATGTGAACAGGAACCTAATGACTTGCATTTCGAACAAGTTCCCAGCTGTTCCCACCTGGATTGGTTTGAAAAGTAATGAACTGCTGGGCAGTGGTAGCACACACTTTTAATCCCAGCACTCGGGAGGCAGAGGCAGGCAGATCTCTGTGAGTTTGAGGCCAGCCTGGTCTATAGCATGAGTTCCAGGACAGCCAGGCTACACAGAGAAACCCTGTCTTGAAAGACAAAAACAAACAAACAAACAAAAAACCAACACTTTCGGTGGGATTAAAGCTTTCTGGATGAAACTGAGATTATCTATAATTACGACAGCTCACCCCAATAAAATCAGACAGAGCTGGGGTACAGCCTGGAAGTAAAGCACATGCAGGCACAAATGAAGTGCTGGGGTTAAAATTGAGAATTATAAAAAACAAATTTTTTTTTAAAAAATTAAACACATTAACTAAAAGGACAGTCTCTCAGACTCCACAAGTCTTAGACTGCAAGGAAGGCATGGGACTTGGGGATGGGTCTGGCATGCCTTTACACCTGCCAATATTTTGTTAGGATCAACAAGTTAGGATCAGATCTTGAAGGATCTGACCTAATTTCCTAATTTGGGTTCTGTTGCAAATATATTTGAATAAATCATTACCATACATCTTGGATGTAGTAATATGGTAAGTTAAGCACTACCTTGCAAAATACGGTAAAACAGCCAGGATAACAAAGAAGCAGAGACAGTTGAGGGAAAAGGAAACACATAGGCAGATCAGAAAGAGCTGCTTGCCCAGTGGTTTAGCTGCTGTGAAGCAAAGTCAAGGGATTCCCATCTAAGACTACATTGGAACACATTGTAAAAGAATCTTAGGTCAAGTAAAATGCATGCTTCCCTAAACCTTTTATATATTATAAACCTTTTGTGGAAGCCCAAAACTGAAAATCATTTTCAGTTATAGCATCATAATGGACATTCTATTACAAACAAAGTGAACAACAGCTGAATCCAACCAGCCTGCAGGTGCACTGGCTCTGTTAGAGTCTAGCCTATGTCCGTTTACACAGCATGCATGCCATCTCTCCAGAAGATGGAGCACGACTATCAGCAAAGGGATTTCAAGACATAATCTGATGAGGTTAACTTAGAAGTTAAAATTTTGTAAACCATCTTTAAGTAGCTGTCAGTACAAAACTATAAGTGTTGCTCAAGGTGAGTATCTAAGGACAAGGTCGTGGCTTTCATTTCCAAAAATGAAATGACAAGAAGAACTCAAGTGCAGAAAATGAGTCGATGTGGTCTCTGAGTAGCAGGAGGGCTTCTCTTGATACTTTTTGGAAATCACTCTGAGAGTGCTAAGTGACCACATGAATTCATTTGTGCTGCTGTCCCAGGCTTACCAAGTGGAATGCTTTACTATCAGGTTTAACTTTATGCTTTTCCATATACTTGATAAGGCTGCAGTTGGTGTACCTGAAAGAGAAACACCATGAAACATTCACATTAGATCAGAGGTGAATACTACATTGGCCGATAGCTTCCCGCACACAACTATTTTGATCATAACCAACAGGGAACACACATCAAAGATGCTTTGAGCAGCATAAAATAGCAGCATTAAGCCAATTTTATATTTTATTCCTTTAAAGTCCACACTAGTCTTTGGGTGTTTTTGTTTCTTGAGATAGGGTTTCACGTAGCTCAAAAGCTGGCATCCAGCACTACATAGTATGACCTTGAACTTTTGACCCTCTTGCCTCCACTTCAAGTGCTGAAACTATAGGCATGTATGCACCACCACACCCAGCCTTAATAATGACTCTTTTCTTTTTTTTCCTCTTGAGACAGGGTGTATTGTATCCCAGGCTGGTTTCAAACTCACTACAATGCTGAGCATTACCTTGAACATCTGATGCTTCTGTTGGGATTGCAGGCATGCGCCACCAAGCCCAGTGCTGGGGATCAATGCATGCTAGGCAAGCACTATAATACCAATTGAGCCACACTAGTCACTTCATAGTGGGTACTGATGGTGGAATTCAAGACAATTTCATGAATACATCCTGGATAGTGTTTTCCCCACATGAATTATATCTTAATAATTATTTTAAATAACATTTGTGCTAAAGGTTAACTCAGGCTTACCAGTATTAAAATTCACTTGTTATATGTGTAAGTACTGGATTTTGCCTACCCCTGGTCTTTAAATACTTGCTTTTCCCTAATTAATACTTGCTTTCGATTCTATACGCTTTAAATGGGTAGGCAGGTGGCCACAGGCAAGGCTTGCATAATTGTACTGTTTTAGCTACAGTACTTCCCTCTATTGTCTGGCTTCCAGAAAGTAGTAAATAAAAAAAAAAATGAGTTGATTTTTCCTCATCTCCAAATCAGCTGCTGATGAGAGCCACCTCTGTTAAATTTATTATCTCACAAAATGAGAACTAAGATCATAACAGTATTTATGAGTAAGTAAAATTCTTTGGTAAACTTAGGTGAGTGCTGTGGCATGCTGAACATTTAATTTTATCATGACTATTCTGGAAAAGTTAAAAATCAACAAAGGGTCCATTTTCTTTCCAACTTACGTATTTCTTCTGAAATCTTTCATTAATGTTGAATGTTCGGGCATCTTTTTTATATCTTCCCAATCTTTATCTGTGAAATACATTGATAAATGTTTATGTTGCCTAGGCTCCTAGTCTCAAGAATGCTAACAAAGGTTACCTTACTTTGAAAGCTTTCTAAGAGCTTGGCTCTCACAGAAGTGCTCACTGCAGCTACATCCTGAGCTGTAAGGAAAACCCATGGCTCCAGCTCTACCTCTACTCAAATGTCAGTCTACACTTGCTCTGTTCCACTATAGCCTGCCAGTACCATTCTATCACTAAAAGGAAATTAATCACAAAATATTTGTTACTATACAGTCCAATTTCTCTATTAGTAATCCTACTTATTTTTCCTCGTGCATCAAATTTCTTGGTTCCATCTGCAAGTAGTATCTCTAACTGAGAAATCTAAGATCTTTTCTCTGACTGGCTCACCACACTTTTCTAAACCACAGCCCTCCTTTCACACCTTTAAAGCTGCTCCTCACATCAAGTCAAACGGTGAGATACCGGTACCTTGGCTACTCTTACTATTATTGTTCAATACAGTGTGAGCTCTGGAGACAAGAACAATGTTCCAGTTAGTCTGGGGCAGCAGAAGTGCTGTGGATATATGCTAGCTACGCTGCCCTTTCTGAAGCTGTCGGTGGCTGTTGTCAAGGATCTGGTAGGTACACAGTTTGTGCACCAGGCAGCTGGGAACACTGGCTCTGCATCTTCCACAGTCATCACCCAGTGTAAACTAAATATATACTTGAACTTTAAAATGGAAGGTTTCTCCTCAACTACTTATTTGTTCCAATTTCTCTACCTTGCCAACTTCTCAAGCTAAAAATTTTAGGGCAACCATTTAGTTTTCCCTCAATTATATATTTCTTTTAAAAAGTTATCTATTTGTCCTTACTATATGTCTTTACAGCTGTGGTACATGTCGCTGGTTTCCTGACCTCACTTACCCCACTATCACTGAAAATTTTAGTGTTCCACAGTCACACTAACCTTTCTGAAACTCCGTCTACGATTCTAGTGTCTATTATGGATCCTAGCTCGCTGCTGCTTGTTTTTCCTGGCTTCTCATTAACTGAGCCATCCTAACTATTAAACCCATAGCAAGAGTCATCTCTGACTATGGTCCTCATTATTCCCAATCAGTCCCATATCTCCTTCCCATGGGCCTCAGAAATAGTGAACTAACCTGGATACAAGAAGGAAGAAGCAATTCCTCTCCAGTCACTCAAGTCATGTCTATTTTTACAACATTCTAAAAATGTTAATGCTTAAGACGGTATGTATCTATCTGCCTGTCTATCTATCTGTTTGTCTAATTTGGGTTTTTTGTTTGTTTTTTGAGACAGGGTCCCTCCATTATGCTGTTCTGTCCTACAACTGGCTATGTATACCAGGCTGGCTTGAACTCCTTGGGAGCCACGTGCTACTGCCTCTGAAGTACTGGGTTTAAAGGTGTGTACCACCATGTTAATACATTTTATTTAAGATAGTAACTGGATCACACTAGCACCCCAACGTGCAATGAGTAAATGAAATTCTTATCCCAATGAGGTCTTCACAAAACTACTGGGTGGTGCTGAAGAAGTGAAGTCTGTGTAGCTGCTGTTCTGCATTTGCTGATACTTAACAATCCTACAAGGAACCACGGATGCAAGCTCCCAGCTATCTTTATCAGTCTTAAGCTGTAGTGACCTAAGGAGCAGTTCCCATAAAACATGATTTCAGTCACATGCCTGACCAGTCAACATTATTTAGGTGTTCTCCACACATTTTTATTATTCTGGACCCATGGATAGTTTTCAATGGCTGGTGAATTACTGTTCTGTGGTATAACTAGGATCTGGGATACACCCAGAGAGATGTTAACTCTAAAGAGGGGAACACCCATACATTTTCTCTCTGCTGTAAAATCCACGCCTGTGACTTTCACTCACATCCTGGCTGTTTTGCAAAACATTAAAAAAAATAATATTAAATAATGACAGGAGTGCTGGAGCAGAAGAGCTATTACTCCACAGGATCTGCTCTGCACAGCTCTCCGTAAGCACAGCCTTCAATCTGTGTACTCAAGCAGCAGCTAGGAAATGCGCTGCCAGAAGAAAAAAAACTTTCTATTGCTTATTTTAGTTTGCACCGGCAGGAATAAACGGTATCAAGTTAACTGTTAACCCAGCTAATATCTCATTATTTCAAATACCAAACAACAAAACAAAACAACAAACCAAAATGAAACAAACAAAAACCTCATCAAATTCAGAAAACCCCTAAGTATTTTAACGCTGATATTTGAATTCTATAAATTTGGCTATTTCTGTGATTCTTTGAAAAATGAAAGTCATAAAAACTAAGAATCATGTAATTCAAGCTTTCATAAGCCAAAAATACAACCTTTCCAAAGAAGATACCAAATAACAATGATTGAGAACAAACAACAAAAGCAAGTGTGTACCTGCAGGGAATCCCATTACATTGAATATTCTGTCCAGCTGGTCATGGTGATAAGGATTACTAGTTTTGATGTCCTCTTGTCGACAGTGAAATATTGGTTCTGACGTTAGTAGTTCTGCAAATATACACCCTATAGCCCAAATATCTTTAAAAGAAAAAGAAAAGAAAAACAAAAACAAAAAACAGGAAAGAGAAAATAAAAAGGAAAAAGGAAAGGAAAAAAGAAAAAGGAGGAAAATAAAGTGCTTCTTTCCAAAAGAAAATGCATTTTTAATTTAATGGGGCGTGTTCTTTATCTGTTTCTTGCACATTAATAGTAATCCCTGGGCAAAAATAACCACTAAATAACACAGGACCCTGTAAATACACCCCCACCCACCAAGCTTTCATTCCTGTGTTATCTCATCCACCCAGTGACTTCATAGAAGCCTCTGTTTATTTGTCCAATCTGGGTGAGTTCTAAATGCTTCAAACATTATCATAGCTACACAGTCTGCAAATGGAACATGGGAACCACAAACAAATGAAACTAAAACAAAACAAACAGAAAATCTACATAACCCTTGAAATTGGGCACTTGCCAGAATACAGGAACATTTGTCATGATAAAATAATTTCATCTTGTTTATTTTCAAAGCCTATTCAGTATCATCTGTGCTAACACTAACAAGAAAGACATGTATTCTATTTCACCTCTTCCTACTACAGCAGCAACATCACCTTTGCAAAGTTAATTAGAACACAGGAAAAAAAAAACCACAAACCTATCTTTAAAATGGGCATGCAGGCTAAAAATTAGTAATAGTTATTTACAGTAGACAAATTGCAAAGTAATTCATGAGACATAAAATCACTTTCATCCATACCAAGTTTGTACCCAAAATAACTATTAACAGAGACAAAAACTATCTACCTTCTTAGAGCACAAAGCTGAAAACATCCTGCTGTTTGACACATAGCTCGTCTGAAGGTGCTGTCTAACGTATATTTAACAGTTTGTGTGCAGTGCAGATGCTCAACAAGTGGTTTCTGAATGACCTACAGAAAACCTGGGGCAAATGTGAATAATCACAGGGACAAATTACAAAACTCATGCTTATATTAAAGCTGATTACTCAGGTACCTGAGAAACTATTATTTAAGCAGAAAATGAGAAAAATGCTAATTATGAGGATTTCTAAACTTTACTGGAATGTATTTACTACAATTGTGATGTTTTTATTTTCATACATAAAATTATCATTTTATAAGTTATCACATTTACATTTTGGGGTGACAAATTAATCTACTTGCATAAGGATTCATAATTTGACAATGTTTTTTAATCACATAATTTTTTCATATCAGAAAACAAAGCTGGTCAATACTATCACATTGAGAAAAAGTTTTATCAAGAATCAGATGGAGCTAATTTGTTTTAATATCAGAGGGAACACAGTAAAGGTATTCTGAGATTAATATGGATATATATCTACCTAATACAAACCTAACCTCTGACCATCTGAACTGTTGCATGGATAGGTAAGCTAAGGAGGATTAAAAAATGGGAAATGAATCATTGTGCACACTTAAAACTCAATTCATAATATACCCAAAAGACACTGTAATAATTCATCTGGCTAGTTACTAAGATTCTGAAGACGAATGGAGTAGTTTTTCCAGGATATTCTGTTTTGAAGGAAAAGCACGGTGGATGGGACAACAGCTACTCAACCTTGATTGACTGAATCCTCGTCATTCTAAGTTTACTATTTTCATCTGTCTCTTGTCTGTACCAATTTTCTGCCTTTCACTTCCACAATTTTGATTTAATCACCAATCAAACTCTGGTCAGATGACTGTGTATTTATTCCCTAAAACTCCCTAATTCTTTCCAAGAAGGTCTCTCTTTTCCTTGCTCATGTTTTAAAATAAGCCGAATCTACAGGAAGGCTCTTTTTTCTGTTTACCCACCTGCGTAACTCCTTCCCTGGGAAAAGTGCACCAACTTCTCAAAACCTACAGCAGCTACAATGTAACTGTCACCCATAAACAAATGGGGTAGAAGGACCTGTTGAACACTGCAGTCAATAGTGCTGATTCTGACAGGAGAACGAGCTTCTTTCCTTTCCCCATTTTCTCCCCTCTCCACTCACAGAGTAACGCAATCAGCTCACACTCAGCAGCAGCTGGAGGAGCAGGCCTCACGCTCAAGTCTACACTTCAGAAAAACTTTCATAACAACTCTAGCGATAGTTCACTGGTGACTGATCATACCTCTCCTTCAGTTTCCTTCCTAACACCAAACAAGCAAGACTAAAAACCAAACACTCAAGTCTTTGTCTTCTAGATAACATGCTCACTGGCCCATTATTTCATCTCTGGTTTAATGATTCCGCTTCCAGTGCTGTGCAAATGGATAAATGTCCACACTGAAATCTGTGTGTAGTGGAGCGTGTGGAAGTGGCAGTTTATCATCATCCAAGGCAGATGTGCTTTCTGTGCACTCTCTTCAGTCTACAGAACTGGGATCCCAGCAGCAGACTCCTTCTGAATAACACTATGAAGATGGACACGAGCATAAGCGCTCAGTGCTGTGATGTGTAACTCCAAGGACAGTGTAGCTGCTTACACTTCAGCTACCAGAGAGCAAAGTCCAAATGCTACTAGAGTTCTTGCAGGAATCTTTAAATGGTGTGGGGAATTGGAGTACTTCACTGAACAAGCATTGAAGGCTACCAATGGAGGTAAGGGGTAGGAAACGAAAACTGTGAAGTAAAAACTAGAACTGAAAGTTTCCTCTTATACCACTTCACTCTTATTTTAAAATGTTGAAAATGGCAAATATATAATCTCTCAGATTCAAACAACATCTAAAAAAGACACTTATGTTATAGCTCTTTGAAGCAATGTATTTATAGATATGAAGGAGTCTCCAAAAGGCACTGTGGTCAAATCAGGTACACATGGCCAGTGATCACCACTGCTGAAGAAATGGCAATGGCCTTGATTCCAGCCATTTGTAACCAAGTCAGTTCCCTTTCTGACTCCTACTGCATAAGGCAAATGTTTCTATATAAAGTCATAGACCTTGCAGCTCATGGTACTTCTTGTAAGTTCATGCAGTCCATGTAAGCATTTGACCCTAGCTGGATTCTCATTTTCAGAAATAACACTGAAGGATTAGATGGCATGTCTGATTGAACATACTCTCCAGGGGTCAGTAATAAAATCACAATTCCTCTAGAGAGTCACTGCTACTCCCTTTACTCAAAAACTGACAATTCACTCTGTGTATATATTCCTACTTTTCTTTCACGAAGACTGAAAACATGTCTTTGGGAAAAGGTTAAGAATTTTCATTCATATTCAAGTTTATACACTAGCTACCTATTTTTGTGTAGAGGAGGAGAGAAAAAGCGAAAAATAAATATAATTAAAGCTGTAGTCTCCCACTCAATTGCTATAGTCCAGCAATTGAAACTGCTGAACTATAGTAGGGGAGAAACAGATGAAGTCTCAGGTGCTCAGTGCATGAGGGCTAAACTTTGGTAATCACATCACTATTTGTACAGTGTAAGAGCCTACCAGAAGTAACAATGGTCTGAAATATCAAATTCTTTGATAAGAAAAAATAACTGTCATATTAACTGAGAAAATCATCTTCAATCTGTTCTAAGAGTATTTTCACAAGATTTAAATGTGTTTAGTTAACAGTACATATTCAAAAACAATAGTTTAAATTTTTTTCTAATTTTTAAAAAGTAAATATTTTGGAACAATTTTAGATTTATAAAGCTGCAGGTAGAGAGATATTTTTCATATCTGACTTATCTTTATACTTGTTTTTCTACAAAATAAAATGTGACCTCAAAGAAGATTAAGAGCATTAGTGAACTTAATAAAGTTTTTGCCAAGAAAAGAGACACGATAGATTCAAGATTAACTCAGAGGAGGATGATAAGCGGTCCCCTTTTCCATCTAGAGACTACATAGGAATATGAACAAAAGCTTAATAGATATAAAACCATAGTTTTAGACAAGATAGGTTCACCAGTCAACAGAGACAAGGCACTAGCAAGTGAGCTCAGTTTGGTGGATTCTAGACACTGTTTGGAGCAAGGCTGACAAGAAGGTGAGACTATGGCCTGGTGGTGGTGGCACACTCTTTTTAAACCCTGCACTCAGAAGGCTGAGGCAGGTGGATCTCTTTGAGTTGGAGACCAGCCTGATCTACAGAGTGAGGGCCAGCTCAGTCAGAGCTGCAAAGGGTAACTGTTTTTAAAAACAACAACAAAACAAACAAACAAAATCAAACAAAGAAAGAAAGTTGTGAATGTGATAGGGATGAGGGAGCAAGGTTATCCCAGACATCATGATCTCAGAAGCTCTTTGTGATAAGACAGAATTTTGACCAAAGTAAACAGATGCAGCAGACATTTCTGAACCATGGAAAGCAGATGAAAGAGTACAAAAAAGACCTCAAGTCTACAGCATGGTACCTGAGCAGCACTGTCCTTCAAAACTATACAGACATGTCAACGTGGGAAAAATTGTTGTTTCAACACAGATAGCCCTTCTCCCCACTGACTACCAATGTCCTCAGCCATTTGATAATCAGCAATTGTGCCAAAAGCCAGGAGATTCTGAAGTCTGACTGGCCTCAGAACACAGACTCTTCCATTCTGGCATCTGGGTCTCCCTGGGGATGATAGCTGGCTGTTGTAGAACTTGCAAAGCATAATCACAGCCTATGAGCCCCATGATCTAACAGAGTACACAAGTAGTTTTTGTAACTTAGGTACGAATAAGAGAAACTAGGGATCATCTAAGTATTTAAGGGACACTTAGAACCAGAAGAGAAATGAAGACACAAATGGAAAACACAGAGCCCAGAAAGAAAACACAGGTTCTTTCCTCAGGTTGCTGGGGAAACGGCTGACATTCAGATGAGTGTGTTTACTAATAGCAGTCCAAACTTTCAAGGCAAGAGGGGCCTGCTGGAAGAAACTGGCAAGAAGAACTTTCCTCGCTACTACAGGAACATGGGTCTAGGCTTTAAGACATTCAAAGAAGCCATGGAGGGCACCTACACAGACAAGATGTCTTTCACTGGTGTGGTGACCAAGAAGAAGATGCCGGACTTCCTACTACATCCGCAAGAAAATTGCTTCAAGAAGCACCACAATAACGTGTCTGTATACCTGTAGTCTATCCCTCAGTCTACCCTTGCTCCATCCCCCAAAATGGACATGCAGACAGGAAAGACAAAAGCATGGCTTTGAGCAAACAGTGAGCTTCGGTGTGCTAAAGGCTTCAGCGTTACAGGCACTAAAGCAGTTTCAGAAGCTCTGAAAGGACCATAGCCAACTCCCCAGAACACAGAACAATTATCTTCCAACTCAATAAATTAAAATAAAGACCAGGCAGGTAATAACTTAGGGTGCAGTACAAACCACAAACAAGTGCTGTGATCCCTTCAAAAGAACTAACAAAACTTTTCTTCTCATAAACCAATACAAGATGCCACAAAGAGTCACTGTCAGAAAAGGAGCACCCAAGAAAGGCAGAAAGGCATCAGGAGAAAAAGCACAGTGGAAACCACCAAGAGGCAGCATCTCCTAAGTGTACATTCAGGAAGAGAGAAACAGAAATCTCCGAGGGGAAATCAATGGACCATATACCTTAAGAATTGTCCGGAGACACCAGATATGAGCTGAATGACTGTGTCCAGAAAATCGCTGTTAAATGTGGAAATGAGAAATGGCATTTATCTTCAGAAAGGGACAAGCCTAGGTGATCCACAGTAATCTGAGAAGACTGGCCTGAGACTGGATTAGCCACACTGCTACCTAAAGGCAAAAGAAATATCAGAGCACAACTTGATACCTATGACTCTAAACCACCAATAAAGGTTTTTTCCAGAAATGCTATGAATTAGACAATTTACCTAAAATATTCTCCCAAGGAAAGTCACAGGAGAAGAAAATAAAAGACACAATCATGGGACGCAGAAAGCACAACAGCCTAGAGGAATAAAAATAAAAATGTCTTGGGGAGGTGGCAGAGTAGGCCCAGGTTATAAGTCACAGGAGAAGCGGCTGCAAGCCACCCTGTACAACAGAACAAGCCAAAGGCCATCAACATAAGCGGAAAGGGCAGAGCATACTAAGGGAAACAGCACTTTATCGTAACACTCACCCTGGGAAAACAAAGAGAAAAAGACATCAGTCATGGGGAAGCAGCGGGTCTTCCACTCACTGGACCGTGTAAGCTATCAACAATTTGCAATGGTAGCTAGCAGAGGAACTGAGGAAGAGCTGCTGGTGTCATCACACCACTAACACGCCTGATAAATGGGGACATGAGAAAGCAAGACTACCAGGCTCCTAACTTTGAAAAGATCCTAACTTAAGTTTGTCTACTTTGTTTAATTTTGGAGGATCTTTTGGAAGTTAACATTTCTTTTGGTGGCAGAAAGAACATTTGGATGAAGTTCTAGAAGTTAAACTTTTTAGTTTGCTCTTTTCATATAAAATTAAAATTTTTACTCAAAACATTCTGAACCTTTTTTGAAGAGACGTGTGAAATTCTATGCTCCTGGATGCTAATGCATATATATATATGGGTGGTAGAATTCTGGGGTTTTGTTTTTATAATTTAGTCTGTTACTTAATTTAAACATGTACAAAAATATGTCTTTCACAGAAAAAAGTTAAAGTTCTATAATTTTAATTAGCCCTACTCACCAATTGCTTTGGTATAATGTCGTGCTCCAAGGAGTAATTCTGGAGCTCGGTACCAGAATGTTACAACCACTGGATCCAAATCTGCTAAAGGCTTCAAAGGTGAATTAAATAATCGGGCAAAGCCCATGTCAGCTGCAACAAGAAAACCACATAAGTAAACAGACAGGTCTACTTTACTTACACAGCCCCACTTGCCAGTGTTGTTTATTAAGAGTGTGCTCAGACCTGGGGCAGCAAATGAAGCACCTTACTGCTTTTACTGACTGAAATGTAAAAAAGTTTGAGACCACAGTCTTTTTGAGTAAACTGTCACTCAGGTTATGAACTAGGTTATGACAAGCTCTGTTGCCAGACCCCCAGGATAAGGCTGCTACTCTGGCAGATTTCTTTCAGAGGGCCATAGTTTGGGGAGGGGCGGAGAGGGGGGACACACAGGTTGGGATATTAAGCTGTACTTCAGTTCTCAAAGCACAGGCACAGCAGAGTGGGGTTTTCCGCTGTTGGCATCAACAAGTCTACTCGCAGCTGCCCTCAGGGCTGACCACATTGTATTTTAATACTATTTTCCTTATCGATTTGGCCAGAGTTTCACTAATTTAATTTTAAAACTCATGGCACTTAAGTTGGAAAAGGCTTTTCCTCAGTCTTACGCTTCTTCACATGAGACAGAAGTTTAAAAGATCACAAATCCAAGCCCCCAAGTTGGCCCTGAAGAGAGTTCATGGCAAGTACCATGCCATCAAACTACTAGGTATGGATTTACCCTGCTAATCCATGATCTGAGGCTTTGCCTTTGTATAACACCACATACAGGGTCACTAAAGACAAAGACAGGATGACCCCTATTTACCACCCACTAGGAGACGTCAAGATTCACAATAATCTGGACAGGTTTAGGTCTGTTCTAACATAATTTTAATGAAGTGGATTCTCCTTTAACTAACAATTACAGATGAGGAAAGCCAAATTTTTGGCAAAGAGTAAAAACCCTGAATCAGATTATCAAATGTTTTCTTTGAAATGTGAATGCTCGAAGACACAGTATCACCCAAAACTCCCAACACTATGCACAATTACATAAAAGTGTAATTCTAAAGGAGGTCTTAGAGGTGCCATACAAAATCTTTCTAAACCAGACAGTAAAAGACAAATTTAAGGGGCTAGAGAGATGGCTCAGAGATTAAGAGCACTGACTGCTCTTCCAGAGTCCTGAGTTCAATTTCCAGCAACCACATGATAGCTCACAACCATCCATAATGAGATCTGGTACCCTCTTCTGGCCTGCAGAATACATGCAGGCAGAACACTGCATACATAATAAATAAATAAATAAATCTTAAAGAAAGAAAAAGAGACACATTTAAAATTGTTCTTTGGCTGGGCCTAGTGTATTCTGCATACCCTGAACTGGTATTTGAATCTGACATTGCGACATCGGACTGAAGAGATTCCCTCAGAAGCTTATCTAAGGCCAAAAGCATTTGGTAGCCCCAAGATAAGCACTGACAGGGTCTGACATCAATGACAGCCAATGGCTCAGAGTACACCAAGTACATCACTTGTTCTCACAGCTAAAAAGTTGCCAAGTCTGAATCATAAGAGAGCATTTAAAAAGTTTATTGAAAAGTGGAAAGTGAATTTGGGGGACTAATAAAGTAGGATGGGGGAGGTGAAGAGCTGAATTTTACTGGGCTGGTGAGGAGGAGACACAGCTACAGGTGCCTCTACTTCAGCTGTTCTCAACCTTGGGTTCTGACCCCTTTGTGGGTTGAACCCTTTTCCACAGGGGTCACCTAAGACAACTGGAAAACACAGATATTCACATCACAATTCATAACAGTTGCAAAATTACAGTTACAAAATAGCAACGAAAATAATTTCATGGTTGGGGTCACCACAACAAGAGGAACTGTATTAAAAGGGTCCTAGCATTAGGACCACTGAGAACCACTGCTCTGCTTTATATCAAACGATAACACTGCTAATTGTGTTCTTACAATTCTGTATCGGAATTACACTAATTTATAACTTAGTTGCATGTCTTCCACCCCTAAACCAAACAAACCAAATGCAAGTGACAAACACTGCTTGGCAAAATGACAATGGAAGAAGCAACCACGTTAGGATAGATTTGATTGTCCTTACAGAGTGTCACCCTGGAGAGATCTGATACAGAGGATGCTGAGTGCCAAGAATGACTCTGCCCTTACACAAGGCCGGACACAGTCCTGCAGGTCAAGAGCTGTGGCTGGGGACAGAAGCTGCCCACTCTACAGGCTGTCTAACTAAGGCAGAGGGATGGAGAAAGCCTGTGTGGCTTACTTTACAGCTATAGAAGTTGGTTCTCTAAGATCGTCTGACACCTGGGAAAGGTTTTCCCTTTTATGTACTCTTTTGAAATGTTTTTGACAGTTGGAACTATGAATATGTATGTGCATCTCGATACAGAAAACAGTGATACAGCTACCTACAATTTTAAAAGTGTACTGAACTGTGACTTATCAAAGATATAACATACCAATTTTTACTCTTCCTCGCTCAGGACCTTCACCCATAACTAAAATATTAGCAGGTTTCTGTGGAAACAAAAAAAAAATTCTTTTCAATAGACAGTAGTTTTCCTTTAATTAGACAAATATGTCAATATAACATAAATCTACTTAAATAAAAATTTTTACTAAAAAATTAAAGTTAAATGCAGGAAGTCATGGCAGAAACTGAATGTGCATACAGTAAAGCCATACACAAGTCCCAGTGCAGCAGCAGCAGCAGATAGCTGAGGCCCTTAATCATCAATAGGTCTTCACGGTGGAGCACTGGAAATCAATCTCTCCCTCTCCCCCCACCCTCATCCCTCTCTCTCTGTTTTGTTTTCCAGACAGGGTTTCTGTATAGCTTTGGAGCCTGTCCTAGAACTCACTTTGTAGACCAGGCTGGCCTCAAACTCACAGAGATCTGCCTGCCTCTGCCTCCCAAGTGCTGGGATTAAAGATGTGCGCCACCACTGCCCATCTTCTTTTTCTTTCTTATTTCAGAGTCTCATGATGTAGCCCTGACTAACCTGAGTCTAACAATGTAGACCACAGTGGCAGCCTTCAACTCCCAGAGATCTACTGCTCTCCGTCTCCTACTTTTGGTTTTATTTTTGAGAATCTTATTCTGAAGTCCTGGCTGGCCTAGAATTTGAGATGTACACAGGATGGCTTTGAATTTATGGTGATTAACACCCTGTCTTCCTGAGTGCTGGAATTCTGGCAACAGTCACCGGGTCTGATGCATGCTTTCAATTATATAAAATGCTCTAAGAGTTTAAGAAAAAAATTAATCTCCACAGATCATTTAATATAAAGTAGCAAATTAATTTCAGGCAAGAATTCCACCTGATATTCCCTTTTGGAAGCCACAAAATACAAGCCTATGTTTAATATAAAAAAAACTAATATAGTCTTTTTCTAAACAAGTTGGCACAGTAATAGTAATTTTACATTTACAACAGTTTTGAGGGTTTTTGTTTTTAAATAAAGGGGAAGATAATGTTTAACCGTGAGATTTTGCCAAAGTGGAATTTTAGTTTTAAATCCTAAAAGCCACACCAGACTGTCACCTACAACCTGTTAAAAGTGGCACATGAACCTCTGGAATTTGAGGACTGCCTTCTCCAGGAAGATGAAGGAAGTGGCATTTGGCTTCTCCCTCAAACCTTATCCTGCTACCCTTCCTATTACTGGCACAACTTTAGTTTTACCAATCCAATAAAGAGAAGTGACACTAGATTAGGCTGTCTCTCAAATATTAGTCTAAACAACTTAAAAATCAAATTAGAGAAGCTGGAGAGATGGCTCAGTGGTTAAAAGCACTGGCTGCTCTTCCAAAGGATCTGGGTTCAAATCCCAGCACCAACATGGCAGCTCACAACTGTTTATAACTCCAATTCCAAGGGATCCAACACCCTCATACAGGCAAAACTCCAATGCAAATGAAATATAAATAAACAAGTATTAGAAAAATCAAATTAGAAGTCAAAAGAAAACAAATGCTGCTGTCGAAATGGCAGGCTATGGCATCAGAGGTTACAAATTCCTAGTTTCTAAGAGGAGGCAACTCAGCACCAGAAAGCAAGTGCCTGGAAGACAGATGCAGTGCAGAGACTACTGTCAACACTACGATCCCTCCTAACAGCACTGTTTTCTGAACAGTCTAAAGCAGAGAGCTCTTTGGATCAGTGTGTCTTGCTATCATCATCACCACAATCTTCAACTGGGGCATCTAGCAAAGTGCCAAAAATCACATTACTTTTAAAGTGGCTTAGACTTATTTGGACACGCTATATCTATGCCTGTTCTCCCTCCTTCCCTTCCTCCCTCCCTCCGTGTGTGTGTGTGTGTGTGTGTGTGTGTGTGGAGGGAGGAAGTGAGGAAGAGCGAGAGTGTGCTTATATGACTAGCCTTGTCAAACACTTGATGTTATTGTTTAGTCAGAACTGAGGAAGCCTCCGAAAGACTGGATAGGTAATTTTACTTCATTGCTCAATGCCATATTAAGATAATAACCTAGTTTCCTATAAAACTAGTTTTTTCCCTTCCTGTTGTCAGTAGAAGAATCTGGAAGGAGTAGGACCTGCCTCCAAGCAGTCCTAGATGGAACCAAAATCTGTGATAAATATTTTTCATGGTGTGCCCTGGTTACCTTGAAAGAAGATGCAGAACATTGCTGGGTGACACTGCGAGGGGTGCACACTCCATGGAAACCAAATGTCCAATGAGGCTTAAGATATTCTCACATCATGGCAATAGAACAGAATGAGCATCACTGCCCAGTGGGTACTGACAAAGACTCAAGATGCGATACTGTTTGAAGTTACAGTACCTTTCCCTTAAAAGCACTAACAATTCTCTTTTACAACTGGATGGTTTTTCTGTTTTCTACCTTGTACCTAACCTCCCAAACCCTAACCAGCATCTCCCACAGCAGATACCTGCACTGCAGACATCACCATTCTTGTACATACACCTCCAGGGCAATGTGATAATGGAAGTGAAACACACATCCTGAACATCATGAGCCATTCCTAATGCTTTCTATGAATCTTTACTACAGTGTCTACATATATGTGTGTGTACACATGCCTAGCTCATTTTACAGATGAGAAGAATCCAGCTCATTTGGGTGGGGAGTGGAGTTCAATGGTGGGACATGTGCCTACCAATTGTGAAGTTATAGGTTTAACTCTTAGCACCACAGCACATGAAAGACAACAACAATGCCATCAGTGGCTAATCCTTCCCATGGCTACAAAGGTGGAACCAAGATCCAAACAAACCTCAAGCTCAACACAACCAGGACTTAATTTGGGGGCTTATTTTTTTTTCCTCTGATGACAGAAAAATCAATTATTTTCTAATATATCCTTCTATTTTCCTTAATTTCTTTTCTACATCCTTTGTCTCTCCCCAGTTTTTACCTATTTCTTTAGTCTCAGGTTTTCCTCTTTAGCATCTGATTTGACAAAGATCAAAGTTCAAAGTGCTGTAAACTGCAATTCTACCCTAACAGGTGACAGTCCTGTAACCATGTCTATGTTGAGGAGAGAAAACCAAGCACACTGGGGCTATGTAAGGAGGTAACATGGTCATCCCTCAAAAGGTTTTACCAAGAATTAACCAAGCAGGCAAGAGATTTGGGTACTTATATAGATGGTACCTTTCAACAGGAAGCTGGGGAGTATAATAAACAGACAAACAAATAAACGGGTTTTATTTCAAATTATCTGCTCCTATGAAGAGATATTTAGGCAGAGTCAAGACAAACTAGTCTGTCCTCCATATCCCTTATTTTTGTTAAATATGCATGCTAAATGGTATTGATTGAAATTACAAGCTTATCTATAATTTAGAAAGACTGAAAATTTAAAACTATGAGCTTAGAACTTAAAATAGGCAGAGCACACACAAGCATGTCCTGTCATCCCTCCCCCTGCACACACACACACACACACACACACACACACACACACACACACACACTGACGCATTAAAGCCCATTCAGTTACACGAGTTAAAACCAGAGCTGATGCAGGGGCAGCACGATCACTGTACAAAGGGAAAACAAAGCCCAGTACATGCACTGAGGAGAGGCCAGACAGCAATATGCATCCTTTCAGTACTTTCAGTAGTCCACTAAGTGCCGCTGATTTTGCATCTAATTGTACCCAACATACTTTCAGTTATTAACTCAAAAATAACCTTGTGTGTTGACTCAAACAACATTTACAAAAATTTAGACGAGTTCAGGGGAAATCTGCAATTTTGCAATGTGGCTAGCTTCGCAAGCTTGCTTCTATGGGAACACTCACTCACCTTTGCCCTCTATTTGATTATTTCCCATGGACAAACTGGAAAAGACATTATCAAAGATTTCTGTGGCTCTGAGCTTTAAAATAGATTCAGAAATAGTAACAGGTTCGGGTGCTGTCCTCCTTGTTTTTAAAGACAGGATCTCTCATTGGCCCAGAACTCACTAAGTAGGCTAGAGACCTAGTGACCCATCCATCTCCACTTCCCTAGGGCTGAGATTACAGGCATGCACCACAGTCCTGGCTTTTGTATTTGAGTGCTGGGGGATGAGCTCTGATCCTCATGCCCTAAGACAGGCACTTTACCCTGGCCTGAGAAAACTTTAAAAAACTAAAACGTTTCTTTGGAAATAAGGGATATATATGTATGTATGTATATGTCTTTAGAAATCTGGACTATAACAAAACTCTAAGGTTTTTGCTAAAAAGTTAGACTGGGTGGTCTACTTTTTAGGCTTTTTTAGTAGCACAATTAAGACCATTTTTATAAGCTTTTCAACAGGATAGTTCATAAAAAATTTAAATCCTATTCAGAAAAACTATTTTATGGTGTTTTGTCTATAAATACGGTATTTCTCTTTTGTAATGTGAGAAGTCTAAAAGTCATAAGAAAAAAGCCTGGGAGACCACCATTGTATCACAGCAGGTAACACACAGTTTATATCAGGTAAGTTGAGTCCTGGAAAATTATCCTGTCTAGTAACAAGAAGCCTAAGAAACCCACACGCACTGGTCCTGTTTTTGGAAACATTACTGATATCTACTTTGTTCAAAAAATAGGAGCAGTCACCTAACTTAAAATACAACAATGTATTCCCATAGGTCATATGGAAAATGGAGAAAACATGTCTGACTCAAACAATCCTCTGTATTTCATCAGTTTCAAGAGTCATTCAACATCATCTTCAAGTCTACTTAAAGAAATGATGTCTTTAAGACATCATTTAAAATAACCATTTTCAACAGAAAAGATTCTAACACTACGCTGAAGCTGAAAGGCGAAGGCTGAGCGTAGAGGACAGTGGCCTCTAAGCTGTCGAGCAGCCATCTCTCCTGGAATAGGTCCGTGTACACATACACACCCACAGTTTGCAGCTCTAACTCTGAGGAAAACATTACAAAGGACAGAATGCAGCTCACTATGCATTTTCAATATCAATGTTAAGTACATGGAAAACACTGATCTAGATATCAAAGTGTTCTTCACAATCGGTCACAGATACT